AGTTGGTGTCGTAAACCACCGCCTCTGTTCAAAGATTGTCGCTCACAGTGGACATAAATGGCTTCTTTCACTCTTTCAAACCATCTGTCCTCTCTGTCCAAAATGTGAACATTGGCATCCTTGAAAGAGTGACCGAGAACTGATTGAGAACCTTCACAGACGTGGACTTCATCTTCTTCAGAATGCAGCATACGCGGGAGTTTGAAAATATTACCATAATATTTAAGTCACTGGATTGAAGTTCTGGTTTCCAGTTCAACAAAGAACTGCCTTTTAAAGTCCTTCTATTAGTTAGTGAAGCTCTCAGTGGTTTGGCCCCCAGTTCATTTCTGGTGTACTCTTTGTCTGTAACCCTATTATAACTCTCAAGTCATCAGATGCAGCTCTTTTAACTTGTACCCTGGAATTTTCATGGTCATTTTTTGAATCCACTTAACACTGACCTATGAATCACTTAAGCCTTAAATAGGCCCGTAACTCAAGGGATGAGTCAGTGTTGTGTCTACACATAACAGGCATATTACATAGAACCGATCTGAAATGATGTCTTCAGGAACTTTGTTACTAGCAGCCAGCTGCAAGAAAACAAACACAAAAGGAATTTTCACAGATAAAGTGTTTTTGAATGGGAAAAGGTCCTCATGCAGGATCTGACAGAGGCATCTGGCCCTTCAAGTATTTCATATACTTACTGTTTACTGAAGCCTCATCAGAAATAGTCAGTGGAAGGTTGCCAAGAAGCCATTTTTAAGAAAGATGAACAAGGAGAAAAGCCTGATGTATGATAAATTACACAAGAACTATACTGAAAATTGTCCCCAACAGGTCTAATGGAGTGATGAATCCAAACTTGAAATTTCAGCTTAAAATTGTTTTCAATATGTTGCCAGCCATCTGTAAAACACAGTAGAGGCACCTTCATGGTTTGGAGCTGCATTTCACCCAGCCAAAAGTGACGGAATTACGAACACAGAAAAGTAACATAAAATTTTGATCCATTGTGGAATACGATCTAAAAAGCATGTGATTGTCAACAACTTATTTTTTTCACATGCCAATGATCCTGAACACACTGCCAATGGAGTAAAAGGATCTGTCGAAATCTTAAATGAATTCCAAGAATGCTGGTGTTCAAGTTTCATCATGACCTTCAGTACATGTAATGTCACAGGTGTTTTCCAAAGTCAGCAAGTCGAGTTAGGCTGCTTTTCACAGCAATACAGCTTCTTGGTAGATTTTGAATCCTCTAATCTGTATCAGCATTTAACTGATCACATTTTTCCATAAAGTCGGAATTTGATGTATTACTGTGCATTGTTCTGGCTAAAACTTTAAGGCAGGCATCCAGGCCACCCTTGTCCATATCAGTACTGCAGAAATTCTGTGATTGTGCAGGAGTCTGCATGTAAGGGGTTAGTGTTTACATGATGTCAATTTCCTGTTTCTTGCACCACTTCTCTGGAGATTCCAAAGAACCGAAACCGTGACACACAATCGCACACTCACAAACAAAGCCTTCCTTAAATGTTTTATTTGAGTCAGCTTTAAAGGAAACCTGCATATCAGTTGAAGTGAGAATTCTTCCTGCTGCTGTCCACTTTGGGCGAGAACTACATTGCTGTTTCAAACTGAGTGAGGGAATTCCAGTGAAACTGCCTGCTCTCACAACATGGACCTTATCTTGGTAAGTTTATAATTTTTTTTTATTGATTATCTTTTTATTGATTTTATTGATTTATGCTGCTTAAAAAAATTATTAGGCCAACTGTCATGAAAACAGATCTGTCAAAATTGTAAATCATCCAGCGCTGTTATAAACTGTCCTCTTTTCTGCGGGGCCTGATTGGGATTTATTTCACTTGTTTACAACATCTTTCTCTGTTTTCTGTATTATGATCTGATTTTTCTATCAAACCTGTGAGCCAGAAAAAAATGTGTGAAGGAGCTCTGTAAGGAGAGCAGCTTCAGAAAGAGGTTTCTGAAATACTCTCCTGAATCTGACAGAGTCTATGCTCCCAACCCTCTGATGGTCATATTTAGGAAAGTATGGGGGAAAAAAACAAACAAACTTCATCTTATGTGTTCTGTCTGGACGACGACTTAAATGGCTAATACTTTTAGCTTTCAGCCCTGATTTGTGTGGTATTTCGATGCATTTTTATATATTTCTGATGATACTCTTGCCGTCTCTTTGTGGCTGTTTAAATGAAAAATGTCAGTCCTTCCTCAACAGTTTACCTCATATCTTCAAACCTCCTTTATTTCAGGTATTCCCACTGATACTTGCACTGATTTCCTGTGGACAGAGTCACACTGAGGGGACTGAACAAATGAATGGTTCATGTTACAATTTGTGTCCAGCTGGTAAGATATAATGAGGAACATTGTTGTCAATTATTGGTATAAAGTCAGTGTGAAAGTAACACATTAACTTTCCCCCTTTTCTCGCGTTTTCAGGATATCATAAAGTTGGTAACTGTGATGATCAAGTTAAAAAGTACAAATGCAAGAAATGTGAGGATGGCTTCTACACAGACATAGAAAACTACATAGAGAAATGTCTTCGGTGTGACTTGTGTAATCGTAAGTATCCTGCCCAGTTTCAATTTAGTGTTACACATGTTTTCTGCTTGTGTGTTTAGGTCGATTAAAGTTAAATTGGACTAAAAAACAGACTGCTATCATCTTGTCATTTAGATATATGAAACACGGCGTTCTTCTATTGTTTCAGCATAAACCTCTTTTTGTGGTGATCTTGTTTTGACGATCTTATATTTGTTTCTGACCAATGTGATGAAGTTGAAACACTTTGATGACTTAAGTCTGTCTAGGATGGGAAACCTTTCAACATTGTGTGTCACTCTTACCCTTCAGAATGCCAGTTTGAGCTTGTGCACACTAAGATTACAGACTTTGCAGTGCAAAGGCAACGTCTGATGTTACGTACACTCCAATTTTAACTAACTATTAATTGTCATTGCTTTTGGTTAACGTGACTGTTAGTATTGGTGAGGTCACCAAGGTAGTTAAAACAATCTATTTGGTGGCTGGAATTTGGGGATTTGCCTTAAGTCCTTCAAGCCCCTGAATGTGCGCTTGCATGTAGACCTGATATCAGGTATCAGGTCTGTTGTTACAAGCTATTCAGCCCCTGTACGACTGTAGTGAGAGGTTAGGTCACATTGCCTGTGATCAGTTAAACTTATTCTGAGCTGCTGTTTAACTCCACCAGAGCTCCCCTTTGTCGCCGGTTCTGTTCATAACTTATATGAGCAGAATTTATAGGTGTAGCCATGAGTTCAGAGTCGGTATGCTTTGGTTTGTCTATGTCTTTGCTTTTTACGATATGGTCCTGCTGACTTCATTGAGTGACTGGGACATTTAGCAGCTGACTAAGAAGCCGCTGGGCTGACAACTGGTATCTCCAATTATGAGACCTTGGTTTGGTAGTGATATGCTGCACCAAGTAGAGGAATTCATTCAAGTATCGACAATCCAAGAGGAGTTTCATAGTAGAAATTCTGCTTCTACAGATCTGGGCTTGGGCTACAATGGGTACTAGGTTCCTCCTAAATCAAGTGGTTCATGCATCTCTAATTAAGAGGAGATTACAGGGCAGACCAGAAAAGCTGGCAATACTATATCTTTTGCATGGCTTGGAATTCTTCTAAAATAGCTAAAGGAAGTTGCTGGAAAGAGGAAGTTCTGGGCATCACTGCTTAGACTGCTGCCTTCAGGATAAGCAGTAACAAATAGATGATGGCATAGATGGACATACTGTGCTTTGCTTTTTCCTCAGATGATGAGATTGTACTAAGGCCCTGCTCCTTTAATAGCAACATAGTGTGTGCCTGTAAAGATGGATACTACAATTTAGGGTCTGACCATCTGAGGGAATGCATGAAATGTTCCTGTAGAACATGTCCAAGTAAGTACACTAAAAGAATGTTAAAGCATTTGATTGGTATCCACAGCAGCCACATTTTTTCATTATCAAGCATAATAACAACTTAAATAAATTCATTCAGTCACCTCCACCTTTATTCCTTTCAGAGAACGATGACTACAAAAGGAAGTGTCTGAAGCCGACGATTGGGACAGACAAAACATATCAATCGTGATTAGATTTTGTTTGTGACAGACTGACAAGAGCACAGGACTACAAATCAATCAGAAAATAATATAGAATGCATATATTTACTGCAGTGATAGCTTACAGTGTATATCAGCACCATCATCAAATCTAAACACAGTGTCTGGCTTATAAAATGTCCTCATGTATGTGTAAACCACATTGTTATTACTGAGTTTTGGCAAAATTGCACAACTGCATGTGTCATAATCACTGTTTGGTTCCAGGGTTTTGAGTTGAAGATTGATTTTTTAAATTTTTGTTTGTATTTTTATTTTTATCTTTAGGGTTTGTTTTGAATTTACTCTGTTTTGGATTTTCAGTTATTTTTTAGTATTTTGAGTCTCCAGATCTGGTTAAATTGTCAGGATCCCTGGGTTTTCCTTTGTCTAGTTTTCCCCTTTGACTCGTTATCTTGTAAATATTTATTGTCTGCGTCATCCATTGTTCATCATCACGCCCTCCCTCACAGACGTGTGCTCCTTGCTGGGAGTTTCCAAATTCCCTAAAAGTGTGTTTTCCAGTAGTTTGTTTTGAACTTGTTTTAACTGCAGCAATAGAGATTCTTCTTTTCTTTCCCATTTCTCTAGTCCTGGATTTGGATCTACAACCTGCTTGTTACACAGCACTACATTATATAACTTTCTTCCTTTCTTTTTATTTTTAATGGTTTGTTTCTGCCACTGGAAATGACCCTTTTTATCATAATTCAAAATTTTGGGTTTTTATCTGAAAGCTCTGACTTAAAAACCTTAAAAATTTCAAGTTATTTCCATTTTTGAGTTATTGTCTCAGGAATTTGATTTATGAAGTTTAGATTTTGAGATAATTTGAAATTCGCTGTACCAATGATTTCCACACTTCATCAGTGCCCTCGCTCATCCACTAATCATTTAGTGGTAATTTGGTATCTTACTTGTCTCTGGTTTCCTTTGTTTAGGAATCACAATCTAGATTAAAATGTGCATAAATATCCCTGCCTTTGTTCTTTGCCATCTTGTACTGTTTAGTCTTCTTTATGTTAGGGCCTCTCTTTGTTCCTGTCCTTGTTTTAGATTACCAATTAACAATAACCATTTTTGGAGTTTTACTCACTGTTTGTTTAGATTACAGCTAGATTACAACACTCGTTCTTTGTTTATTGAAACTCAGTCTCTGTCTTGTGTTTTGAGTCTTTATGGATCTATAAGCGGTATGTGCTAAGATGATCTCATTTTGTTTCCTGTTTCTTGCATTGCTTTTCTGAAGACAAAACAGAATTGAAAGTCCAGAGGCCGAAAACATGCAATAACACACTCATACAAATAAACCTATCCTTAAACCACAAGTTTGAGTCAGGTTCAAAAGAAAACCATTCATCAGCTTAAATAAGAGTGTCTCATCTCATGCTGGTGATTACAAGATTGTTTTCAACTGAGTGAATCTGAATAAAAATTGGTATGTAATCCTCTTTGTAGGATTAATTGGATCATCTCCATGTACAATTTCAAGGGTGCTTTGAGTTTTGTCATTTAGTGTTGTGTGAAGCTCATGTTTACATAAAGGTATACAAAGATTATGTCTTAATGACCGCAAGATAAGGTTTGTTACAAGATTTATTTATTTATTTTTTTACAGTTGCTTAAAAGTTATCTTTTATTATGCATATTCTTCAAGGACTGTAAATCATATTTGTTAGCATTATTATTATACTATCATTATTATTATATTATTATCATTATTGTTTGCATACATCCTCGCTGTTGTGGTTTTAGTGTTGATAATCAAACTTCATATTAGTTGCTGAAAATGTTAATGCTGCAGTATTGTGTATAACAGACATGCAGGGTAGAAGAAGGCCTCCTGATTACTGGGATTCCCTGTTGTGGCCTTGCTGCTCTAGGAGCAACAATTTCCTGTAAAAAAGAGTTTCCACAGGACAGTGGAGCAACCTTTCCCAGCAATAACTTGAAGTAATGGTTTTCTGTGGGGCTTTTCTTTATCAGTCTATCACATCGTGGGGATGTTTCAGTTCAGCTCATTGAGATTCACGGGGATTTGTTCAGAGAGATTGCTCCACATCTGAGTCTTGAACACTTTGGTATACAGAAGACTTCATGGTCAACTCAGTGCAAGGTGTCCAGGTTCTGTGGTTGTAAAACAAGCCCAGATTATCACTCCTCCACCACTGTGCTGCCTGTTGGTATGAGACGTTTGTATTGATTAGGGCTGCCACAAATGATTATTTTAATAGTCGACTAGACACCGATTATTTTTCTGATTAGTCG